CTGCTGCACCGCATCGACCGCACCTCGCCGCTCTACCGCTACACGCCGCAACACTTCGCCAACAACAGGTCAACCTTTAACATAAATTTACTTATTGTTTCTGATGTAATTATGCACCTGTTTAGGAAGTAGCGCCAGTGGTGGAGAAATTGAAAAGCAAATGTTAGCGTGGTATGGACATGTTAAGACATAAACCAGAAAGAGTTAAGATTGAATGGCTACAAAGGTAAAGGAAGACCAAAGAAAGTATGGATTGTGAAAGATATGCTTAAGAAGGGAGTAAATTCAGTTATGGCTGATAGAGATATATGGAAGACCACATACTGTGCCGACCCTACATAGGAACAAGGGTGAGATGAGAGAAGCGGCCATTACCTATAGGCGTCGCATTTGCTGAAGTCTATCTTTGCAAATGAAATGCAATCCACAAAGCACGCACAGAATGAAGGTATCCTACCTATGCGTCCCATCCCTTGACAAATCCACTGCCCCTTACCATCCTCTTCTTATAAGAAAGGGAGAAGAATGAAATTAGATCTGCAAGTACACTCAAATTATACGCAGAACTACTTCCACTTGCCTATCTTCTGATTGTAACCAACTCATTATATGTTTCCTCTGTGACTTAAGGGTGACTGATATGAATGAAATAGTTTTTTTTTAATTAATTCTTCGTCTCTGGAAGGTATGGAATTAAGGGTTTATATTCACAGTTACGAAATAACTATAAGCTTGAAGGGAGCATCAGCGTCAATGGGCACATTCACGCAAAGCCAAACGTCGTATGTACCGCGCGAGGTGTTGTGGGGACATCGCTTCCCCTCTGTCGTCAAGTTAGTAACATTTAATACTATTTCCACTGACACATTCATAGCACGAATATTTTATATAGCAATCGCGATTTAAGTGAAAAAAACTTGTGATTCTACAAAAGATTTTCTTTTAAGTAGAATTTGCACCTTTCTCCACAGGTCATTATTCAACCTTTTATTCTAGCTTTCTCTCGCAATTTCATCCGCGTGGAATATAAAAAAACTAGCTGTTCCCGTGCGATTTTATCAGCATAAAATTATTTTATTGTTTACATGTGTCAAACTGACATGACATGACAAAACTTGGCAATCTTGCTTCCTTGATGTTGGCAGCAACTTATGGTCTCTTTCCCACATTTATCCAAAATATTTACCCCCTAAGTTTAATGGCGTGAAAATATATAGCCTAAAGCGTGACGTAAGTATAGGACTTTATATTAAAAAAGGAATTAGTCAAAAATATGGTGTAATTACTGACATCTTAAGCAACAAAGAAGTGTGTGTTTACGCTTTATTATAATAATATAGATAAGTAGTTAAGTACCCTATGTGTTCTTCCAGACTACCCTATACTGTCACAATCATTGAGTGCACCAGTCAAGGCTACAAACTCAAATATCCATCTAAACTTTCGCATTTATAACATTAGTAAGACCTTAGTTAGATGTACAGAATAGTCTGGAACAAATAGGTTACTTTTTTTAATTCTACGCAGACAGAGTGTCAGGCGAAAGTTGGTATTTAATAATTACAGATATGACCCTCGTAAGCAGAAGTACGTGGTGGATTATTCCAGTCTGGATGTAACACAAGCGGTAGATACTCCTCAATGCAGTGCAAGAGAACTTTACAGGTAACCTATGAAACTGTTTTAATTTTAGTTCTTTCCCACCATCTTCTAATAAAGGCCTAGCTCTTGCTTAAAATTATAGCCTATATCACTCACAGTAAAATCACCTTTCTAACGGTAAAAGAATTTTTAAAATCGGACCAGTAATTTTTGATATATTTTAATACATACAAAAATACAAATCTCCTTTCTTTATAATGTTAGTATAGATGGGAAGGGAAGTGGGTTTGGCAGTCAAGATACACAGGAAGTGGAAAATAAGATAATAAAATAATAATAATAAAAATGACGTCACTGTCAGATAAGGTAACATCCGATATTTCCAACATATATTTTACACGTTGGATTGTTAATAGACAATTTACAATTTGGTGGGACAGGCACTTAATCTCTTAGCAATATTAAAAGTTCCTACATTCAATTTGAACTGTGTTTTGATCAAAGATTCATAAAATATATACGGGAAGTATAGTTGACACTTCACTTGGGACATTACATAATTCACTAGCTCCATCTATTAAAAGATCCTCAAAATCACATTTCAATAATAATTGTATTTAAATTAATTGCCAATAGATGTCTCTAAATCAAATTTAAGTTTATTTTGTGACACTGTTTATTTTATAACAAAAGATGGAGCTTATTTTAATGTGGATTTATTATAACATGTCAGTACAAGGACATGAGGTGGCACTTGACAACTAACATAGTACCTAGTACTAACAGTGGTAGTGCCCGCTTTAACATGTTAGCACTGCAGGACACGCTCCCAGTCATACCACGACCACACAAGACAGGCGTGAAGTGGAAGCAATTCCGTGTACAGTCTGACGAGTGTGGTGGCGGAGACCTAATTTAGGTCCCTTTCTCTTTACCACTCTTTTCTTATAAGGAGAGGATGGGAAGGGGAAGTGGATTTGATGGTGGAGGAGATGCATAGGAAGGGCATTATCCTCCTTATGTGCGTCTTCTCCTCCGTCGGATAAGGGTAGGTAACGCATCTGCGATCGCGGATGTCTATGGGCAGCGCTTCGCCATTTTGGCGGATTCAGGTGGCCGCTTGCTAGTTTGCCACCTTATGTTATAAAAAAAAAATTGTTCACAATGTAGTCCAGTGTTTATCAAAGTGGGCGATAGCACCTCTTGGGGCTTTTGAAACCTAGAAGGAGGCTTTATATGGCCCTAGAAAAAATGGGGGAAGTTAATGTAGGTTAGGGGGACGATGTATAATTTGTAATTTCATTTATCATAAAGTTTTTTAAATTTCACTAAAATTGTATAAAAATAGGGGTGCTGAACCTTAATTTTAAAGGGGGGCGGGAAAAGAAATAAGTTTGATATACTTTGGTCTAGTCTATATATTTCTTAAATGTCTTATATATCAGTTATCTTCTTATATAACCTTCACACTTTTATTCTTAATTCTATAACCTCCTTAGATCCAGTGCGTCCAGCAAGGAGAGCGCGTGTCCTGGTACTCCGGGCAGCTTCAGTGAGAAACTCTCCACATTCCATCTTGAAAGGACTTCCTCTTTTAAAAGGAGGGATAAATCTTAGAGTTAAGTAATTTTATGCGATTTCTATTATTTTTGACCGACTTCCCAAAAGAAGGAGGTACTCAATTCGTCTGTATGTGTTTTTTTAAAGATGTCAATTCCTTCGAAGATTAAAAACTTTATTATTGTGTATTTGATCTTTGTATTTACTTGTGATAATGTTCAATAAAGATTATTTGAAGATATTTCTTTTATTTTTTACCTTTTGTGTTCTTTTCAAGCAGCTAAATGCCTTTTAAGCAGCCTATATATTTATCTCTATTTGTTACAAAGAATTGCCTTATTTACAAAAAACTACAAATCTTACAATGCTTACGAACAAAGACAACCATTCGCTGTTTATTTGAACAAACGCACCTTCACATTTCTAGGCCAAGAATTGATCAAAACATAAAATCAGTACAAATATATTTGTTTCTTATCTTTCGTAAGGATAAAAGGGGCCTTATCTTATTCTCAGATAAACGACACTTAGTTGTGAAACGCACCTCCAACATATAACACGAACATAACAAGACAAAGTTACAATTAACTAAAGATAAGAAATCATTCAAATTTAAACGCGATGAAGTAAATATATTAACTAAAGGGCAGTATAAAATAAACAACAAAAAGTAACGTAATTTAAAAACAAGATGGAATTCGATAACGAAAGAAGAGGCAGTAGAAACCGAGCCTTAGAAAGATCATTAAGCTATTCAGCGGCTATCGGCAACGGATCCGGGAGATCCTCTATTGAAATACCAGCGATGGTGAACACAGAAGTCTACACAAACGAGGAAATAAAGAAACAATATAGGATATCACAAACATACGTCGAAGGGAAGGAAATCACATTTCCCAATGTCGTAACCAATATTGATTCAAATCCAAAACAAACAGTAGACAGTAAAATATCTGATATATCACAATATTCAAGTGAAGATGAACAAACTGACAATGGTTTAACAATGACTATTGATGTAGAAACAGATTCGAGCCCTAAATCAGATACAAGACACATATCGGATGCATCGACACAACCAATGGTCAGTTCTATAGTGACAAATGAAACATACGATAGAATCGATTTTATTGAAAGCATATATAACGACCCGGATGATTTAGTAGGTCACGGATATTCTACGCCGTATAGTAAACGTAGAAAGAAAGGGAAGAAACGAAGGTGAGTTCAATTTAATATTATTAACTACAATTGTTTACACGTTTATATAAGATGTTTTATTTATAAACAAACGAGCTGTTGCCCGCGACTTCGTCAGCGTGGTATTAGAAAACAAACTATGTAAATTACAAAAAGCTACGTATCCCTCGGGAACCGGACATTTCTCTGAGATGAAGCTTATCCCTTGTGTACTCCAGACTTTGTTTTATATCTGTGCCAAATTTCAATAAGATATGTTGAACCGTTGCAGAATTATCGAGTAAACAATAAAAAACTAAATTAATGAATCCCACGGGAACCTTAACTATTCCCGGGATAAAAAGTAGCCTATGTCTTCCAGACTATGCATTTATCATATTACTAGCTGTTTCCCGCGACTTCATCATAGATAATAATAAACATAGTCTATGTTACAGTTTCTAAAAGAAGTTTTAGAATCGTTTTTGAGTTATTTCAGTACATGCAAAAATACAAATCTTTCTTCTTTATAATATAAGTGTAGACTAGCATAAATGCTATTCACTGTCTCAGAGCTCTCGTACTTATCGGTTGATAATACAGTTGGGCACTTGATCAGTATGGATGTATGGAGATATATTACATTAAATGGTTTTAACTTGACAGACAGATTTGATTAAACTAGCAGCCGAAGTCTGTATTATAATTTGTGAGTCATTGCATGCACAGAGTGGAGAAACATCCTTCGAGAGAGTGTCAAGGAGAGTCGCGACCCTCAGGAATGAGGAAACGAGAGAGAGAGAGAGAGAGGGAGATGGCATGCAAAATAGCCCTTTGTGTTTATATCTGAAACTAAAACTACACTAAGTGAGACTCTCAATTCGGCCATTAATCCTTTTCTTTGAATCTCATTTAATGACACAAAAAAAATCTAGAAAACAATATTGATAACTTATCCAAGTTGATAAACATTGGACGTAATACTTAGTACTTACTGATTCATCTACACTATGTTTTAAAGATTTGTATTTTTGTATGTAATGAAATAAATTGGATTTCAAAAAATTATTTCACTATTAGAGGCAAACCTTAGACTAAACAATCCCACAACGTTCTCCGATTTTATTGTAGCCAATTCAACTGTTTAGTTGCACAATATCGAGTAATGTTCGCAACTCCATAAGTTCATAGGAATCAAAGCGCGACTAAACAGTTGTGCGATAGTTCAATCAAAGGTGTGCACTCTTATAAACCATTGAAGCGGTATCGGTAGATTTCTGTTATTACGTAGATTAATACTAAGTTAATAATTTTGGTAAAAGGTTGAAAAAAAGGGAGAACATAATAGGTTATATTTCTTATTCCACGCGGGCGAAGTCGCAAGCAACAGCTAGTAGCTAATATAAACATACATATATCCTAAACAATCTTTGTTACAATGATTATTGATGTATGTTATCTAACTTATTGAGACTTGAACAATGAGAATTCGTACTCAAGAACATGTACTCCGAAACTACAAAATACGCTATCCCTTTTTTGTATACTCGCTGTTGCTCGACTATGCCCGTAAGAAATTAAATATTCATATAAATACTTCTTACTAATATTATAAATGCGAAAGTTTAGATGGATGGATGGATGTTTGTTAGCGTTTGTAGTCTAAACGGCTGAACGGATCTCCATGAAATTTGGCACAGGTATAGAACATAATCTGGAAGAACACATAGACTACTTTTTATCCCGAGAATAGTTACGGTTCCCGTGGGATTCATTAATTTAGTTATTTAATGTTTACTCAATCATTCTGCAACGGTTCAACATATCTTATTGAAATTTGGCACAGATATTAAACAAAGTCTGGAGTACATATAGGATAAGGTTCATCCTCGAGAAATGTGCGGTTCCCGAGGGATACGTAGCTTTTTGTTATTTTTATAGTTCGTATGTACTCTAATACCACGCGGACGAATTCGCGGGCAACAGCTAGTAAATAATATAGCCTATGTTACTCACTGATAACATAGCTTTTTGATAGTGAAAGAATTTTTGAAATCAACACAGTTTTTGAGTTACTTCAATACATACAATAAAGCAAATCTTTCTTTTTTATACCATTACTGTAGACTAGCTGTTGCTCGCGACTCCGCCGCCGTGAAATAAAAATATAGCCTATGTCACTGTTAATGGTGCATTTTTTTTTAATCGGCCCAGTAGTTTTTGAGTTATTCCATCATCATCTCCCCTGCTTTATTCCACTCCCGTAGGGTCGGGGCGCCGGGTTTTCGTCCTCCAAAGCACTCTATAATCCGTCAAATCAGTCATCACTCTCTTTTTGATCATGTCACTTTTCACGCAATCCATCTATCTCTACGTCTACCTCTACCGGTGTTTTTTTTGAGTTATTCCAATACATACAAAATTACTTATCTTTTCTCTTTATAATATTAGTTGGCAAAGTGGTGAGTCGATTGAGGAAAGTAGTGTAGTAGAAGTAAGAACGGTGCCACGAACCCGCTGCTCGGTCTATGTTGTTGATTTGCTATGTGATGTGTAGATTCCGAAATGTATTGTGTTAATCCGTGCCTCTAGTGTTTTGATGCTCGCACTTCACCCAAATGACGCCTTCGAAACCAAGACCCGGTAGTAATGATGTCGGGGAGAAAACAGAGATGGAATTATAAATATTTTATACTGAACTTTACAAAATGTAACGTCTACAACTCCTTGACCCACTTGATTGTAAATTAGACGTACATGTTTCAAGTATTAAGGTTCATACTAATACTATAAATAGAAAAAAAATGTTTGTTATATTGTAATGATAAGGCCCAAAAACGATTGGACTGGTTTTAAAAATTCGCCATTTGAAAGCAACCATTATCCACGAGTAACATAGATAGGTCATAGGCTATATGTCACGCAGACGGAGTCGCAGGCGAGAGCTAATATAGATTACCTCTCGCCCGCGACTTAGTCTATACTATATTAGTATATACTAATATAATAAAGAGGTAAGATTTGTATTTTTGTATGTATTGAAATAACTCAAAAACTACTGGGCCGATTTTAAAAATTCTTTCACCATCAGAAAGGTAATTTATCTGTGAGTAACATAGGCTATATTTTATTGTTATTAATGTTTAGGAACTAATAATAATTAAATATAAAACACAGGTGTTGCACGAGACTTCGTCCACATAAAAAAAATAGCCTATGTTACTTATAAGATAGCTTTTTAGCAGTGAAGAAATTTTTTAAAATTGGCCCAGTAGTTTTTAAAAACAAAACAAAAATGACAATCATTCCTCTTTAACATTAGTATATTGGTTACCTTTTTAAAATTGTATATTTCATATTGTCGAAAATTTTGATTATCTTATCCGGGTTAACGATAGTATCTTATCGTTGGATTCTCTTGAGATCAGGGCTTTGTCATCGTATACGCCGAAATATTTGAATCGAAAAAATATTTGTATTTTATCTATAGTTTGATAAGCTTATTTAGTCACACCTCCGAACTAAGAACTAGTTACTTAAATTCTTTCTATGAGTATTGGTATGTACAGTCGCGGAAAACCGCAGTGTAGCATTTTATTGCAACTATGCAAACTCCTGCAAATAACTAATTATATAGCTATGAGTGTAAACAAGGAAATAATAATAAAAAAACTAACACTGTAATACTAACCGATTTTTTTTCGTACAGCCACATTTATAAGTTGTGTTGTATTGGTTTTTGTTCCGCGTCTCGTTTCAAAATGTACAAACGATTGTACCTTTTGAGTTGGAACACCGACAGTTTCCTTAATTGTACTTTCTGTGATTTCTAACAGAAATAACGATCAATTAGAATCAGTATTATTATCCAAGTAACTTGTAAAAAACCAATAATAACATTCAATTTTTTTACGTAATTTCACGAAAAGTAGTAGAGAGGGCGTACACCTTTGAGTTAACAATCAGACAACTATTGTGTGATTGTCGATTGTTACGCAGTCAACTGTTTATTGCAGACGTCAACACGGTCGTCCGATCAGGTCACGACGCGTGGTTCACAAGAGCGGAGAAGAGAATGTTCCAGTACGCACAAATATACCAGCAAAGTCTATCAAATACATGCGTGACATCGTCAATACCGTGGTATGTGTAACGTATTTACTCCAAGTGTATCACGAACTTCGAAGTGTAGGTACAGTCGTGGAAATTCGCAATGATCCACCATAAAGATTGCTTTGTTCCTTGCATCGAGACTAACTCCACAAAGGTAAGAGTTGCGCAAACGACGGAATAATATAAAACAATTAGCCAAGGGTGGATCCAGCTTTGGCGCCACATAGTCGTGGTGTGGTCAAGTCAATATGTTTAAATATTTTGTCAAGTTCTTGACCAACCAGTTCAGGAGAGGGGGGGGGGGTCATGACCCCTACCCCCTGGATCCGCCGTCGTTGCAATTAGCAGTGTAGAACTATTTATTTATTTTGCGTTGTCTCGCGTACATTCAAGCGATTCTTGCTTTTTTAGCTGGAACTTTGACAAATTTCTTAATAGTACTTGTACTCGGAAGTAGCTCATATTCTTAAACTTCTAAATTTGTACATCTAGATGTTCATCATCTAGATGAATGATTTGTTTTTTTCAGATCAACAGCAAATGGCGTTTCATAATATTACTAATGATAGTAGCGCATTTCATCTTCTGGTTTATTTTTGCTGGTATCTGGTACGCGGTCGCGTCCTCGTACCAGGATGATATAGGAGACGGCAAGGAGCACTGTGTCACTGGTACATCGTCCTTCGCTGGTCTGCTTATGATGTCTGTTGAAACTCAGGTATGTCGAATTATAGTAGACTAGCTTACGCCCGTGATTCCTTTCGCGTTGAATTAAAAAAAAAACAAAAGTAAGTAGCCCATGTGTTCTTTCAGACTATGTTCTACACCTATGTCAAATTTCAGCAAAATCCGTTCAGCTTTTTAGGCTAAACTTTCGTATTTATAATCATACTAATATTATAAATGCGAAAGTTTAGATGGATGGATGGATGTTTGTTAGCGTTTGTAGCCTAAACTGCTAAACGGATCTCGATTAAATTTGGCATGGATGTAGAGAATAGTCTGGAAGAACACATAGGCTATTAATTTTTGTTTGTTTGAATTCTACGCAGACGGTGTCGCGAGCGGAAGCTTGTATTAGTATAATTCCTGATATTGTTAGTTAAAACTATTTAATTTCGCCTACATACGAGTATACTCCATCAACATTGGAATGCTCTATCTCTAAGAAACATATTTTTATTTCTAGATTTTTAATTCTACACGAATGAAGTGGCGAGAAATGTTAGCAATGTTTAAATATTTATTATTCTGCAAATATAGTCAAGTCTTTAATTATTTACTTACAATGTATTCTATTAGAAAATGTAATATTGCATATGTTAACTGTGAAATATATATTTCAGATGACAATCGGCTACGGAGTACGATATCCCAGCGAAGAATGTCCTGAAGCCATCATCGTTATGGTTATAGAGGTATTATATTGTGCTTTAACAAACATTTAACAAATCAACAGTTTCAGATAAATAAATAAAAAAAATCTTTGGATTACGGAACTTTTCAATAAGCAGAGGGTTCGAACTAAAGTAATTTTTCTCTATTCCAAGATTTTTTGCTCTGTGACAAACATTTTGTAATCTATGGTGACGCTTCCGCTGACCCTTTTTAAACCAACCTCGGAGCGACGCGGAGCAAATGTGTCAAAGTTACAATTGTGCCATTTTATATTACCAAAATTACAAATTTTTATAATACCAAAAGATTTCTATTCCTTTGTTCTGGAATAAACACAGAGTATTGTTGCCAGTCTCTTCGAACTGTTCTAAAAAAGAATAAAACCATAAACATTCGACACTGGCCCAATCCGCTAAGGGAGTGCCAGAGACAAGAAACTGAATTGATCTGAGCAAACATTTACAAGGAAAATATACAATTTTTAGATTTAATCTATCTGTTCTCAAGTAGCTTTATCCGTACGACATTATAAAAACTCTATTAACCCTAAATAATTGCGTAAAATGTTCAATTGCAAATCGTAAAATTCGATTATTTAATGCTAACGGTATTGGCTGAAAATTTAAGTAATGGCAACCTTGCTTCTTTGATGCTTTGGCGTATTTTGTCCCTTTCTCTTAAAGTAACTTTACCCAATTTAGACAATCCCTGAATTTAATTTCGTGAAAATATTGTCATATAAAAGTATATTCAAATATATGCTGTGAGTGTTGACATCCTATGTAACAAAGTGTGTTTACGCTTTTTTATATTAATATAGATATCATTTGCAGATAGTTGCTGGCACGGCATTATCTGGAGGACTGTCCAGTTTGCTGTTTACAAAGCTTGTGCGACCAAACCGACATCTCTCCTCCGTAGGATTTAGTAAGAAGGCAACAGTAAGTTTGTTTAATTGCCCTTAATACATATGCAACAAGTCAAAAAAATATATGTCACCTAAAGTTTAACACTGCGAATTTCCGTGATTGTACAGAGACCACTTTTCTGAAGAATGCAGTCCTTTTTTTATTCTTGCTTTTAAATCAATGGGAAAAAAGGACTAGAATTGGATCTAAAATTTAATTCCGCTATAATTAACTAGCTTTAGCCCACGAATCCGTTTGCGTGGAATTTGATTAAGTAACCTATTTGTCCTACCAGATATCTACATCTATGCCAAATTTTATCAAACTCTGTTCAGCCTTTTAGGTTACAAACTCTAACAGTCATATATTATTTAAACTGTCGTTGTTTTTACAAATATAATGTTCATAAGTTTGTTACCAGGATTGGATTATTTAAGCTCCCTATATTATCAACTAATATTAGCAACTGTGTCAAAATATTGGGAGCTAAAACAATCCAATCGTGGTAAAGAACCCTATCTTACGAACATTATAATCCTATCTATCCAAACTTTCCCATTAATAATACAGTCGAACCTCGATAAGTTAAAGTCCAAGAGAAACAAAACATTTTAAGTTATCAAAGGTCTATGTTGCAGAGGTTTTGTGCTCTGATGGGAAGGGAACATAATTTTTCTTGAAGTTACATAGGTTTTTAAGTTACGGAGGCTTGAGTTATCGAGGTTCTGTAGAACGAAAATTATACGAATAATGTGGTGTAGGTTTGCCTACGCGATGGAGAGCTGTGTCTCCAGTTCCGAGTGTGGGATTTACTGAACCTGCATCTTATTGGCTCCACTATCACTGCTTACATGCTCAAACCTATACGGTAATTTATTTTTTTATATAAAGTACCCTTAAACAACACCTACACACAACAATTTATTACATAATTCTATTTATTTTATAGAAAAAAATATTTCTAGAAACTTACTTAAAATACTTTATGTGCGTTAAAAATACAAAAAAAACCATGACGATTAAAACTTACATTTACTTATCCGCTTTATTACTCATGGTATAGACGTGCCAACTCGAATACCGCGCACAAAACTCGGTAAAAGCAATCTACACATGACGCCAAATTGGACGGATTTTGTTATATACTTTTTTACTATAAAAACATGTATATAAAGATTGTTTTTATATAATAAATTAAAGAGTATTTTTTAAAATTCCCGCGCCAAGTTGGAAAACACAACGCTTTTTCATAGTAGGTGATAGGTAGATTCACTTTTTGACTTTTGAAAGCTAAGAACCAATCAAATCCTTTGTCGTTATTTGATGACGTCACAACACTCCGGCCGCTTTTTAGTCGTACGAAATTTATTGTAATTTTTAATTCAATGGTTTTTTCACATGCATATTCCCTATTTAGGACATTAGAAGGTGAGATAGTACATAACTACATCCACCCGCTGCGTCTAAAGCAGGCGCGTGCATTACTTCTGTGGCCTGTGACGGTCGCCCACGTCATAGACTGCCACAGTCCGCTGTACGACCTCTCCGCACAAGATATGATGGATTACAGGTATGTTTGCCGCAAGCCTCGTGGTTCAGGGGTTAAGAACTTGACTTGTAATCTACAGGGTCTTGAGTTCGAATCCCGGATTATATCGATTTTTCGAATTTCATATTTATTTACACAATTACACAATGTCATCTGTACCTTTGAATAAACAGTTGTGCGATAGTTTCGTCAAAGGCGTTCGCGATCTCAAGATGTTCAACCTTTTAACAGTGAAATCAGTTGCAAGTTTCTGATATGGTTAGTGTTATAACAAATTAATCATTGCTTTTATGTGTATACTAGCTTTCGTCCACGACTCCGTCCGGGTGGTATTAAAATAAACATAAGTGAGTGGCCGATGTATTCTTCCAGACTATCCTCTATATCTATACCAAATTTCATCGAATTTCGTTCAGCCGTTAAGGCTACAAACTTTAACAAACATCCATCCATCTAAACATTCGCATTTATAATATTAGTAAAATATTGTCTTCAGGTTCGAGATAGTGGTGTGTCTGACAGGTTCCTCAAAAAACATGGGCACAGTCACTCAAAGCCGGACATCTTACCTCTCTAAGGAGATCATTTGGGGATATCGCTTTAAAAACGTGCTCAAGTAAATATGATTTTGTATTTTAAACTATGGAAAATCTCACCAATTGACTCACTCGATATCATAGTTGTTAATTTAAAATTTCAATGAATTTTCATGATCTGGAAAGGAATATAATAGGCAGAAACTGAATTTTTACGCTCGTAAATGTAATTTTTAATATCGACTTCTTCATACAGTTTGTCTAATTAAAGTTTGTTAGTTTTTAGCTCGAGATGTCGGCGTGAAATTAAAAATGTAATAAAAAATATGGCCTATGTTATTAACAAATAAATTACCTTTCTAATGGTAAAAGATTTTTTTGTAGTCCAGTAGTTTTTACGTGAATACATACAAAAATCTAAAAATACGAATCTTTCCTCTTTACCATGTAATATTAGAATAGATGACTGATTTTAATGGTTTTTTTCTATAGGTATTCTAAGAAAGAAGAGTCTTACGTGATTGACGTTGATAATTTGAACACTGTGGAACAAGTTGAAACTCCACTCTGCAGTGCAAGTAGATTGAAATTATTTGAAGACGACATTAAGTCATCTAACAACCTTCTCACTCCCACAAACATGTCTCTTTCCCCCACAAATATGTCGTTAAGTCAGGAATCTTCGACAATATCTAAAGTAGGGGAATCCGTTCCTTCATCCCCCATTTTTACGAGAACAGGAACACAAAGAAGTTTCGGTTGGAATTTCAGAAGATTCTATCCAGAAGAGAATAAGAATGTTGTTAGTTCTTAATTTGTTATACCTAAGTTAAGTTGTTATAATTAAAAAATAATTTGATTATGAGTTTTTTATTTCATAACGTGTCAGACGAACAAATTGTCATTTGAATACGCCAAAATAGCGAAATAGGATATTTCCCCTTTCTACACGTCTCCTCCAGATTCACTTTCCCTGTCCATCCTTTCCTTGTAAGAAAAGTATTATTAGTAGTATAGCTCTCTATTAGAACACACTCATTAGACTGTTCGCGGAATTGCTAACTCTTCACGCCTATCTTCTGTGTGGTCGCGGTATTTCAGCGGGCGAGCCGACCCATTCGTGTGAAGATGTATATTATGATTTTTAATTTAATGTGAAACAGCGCCATCTATCCGCTCAAGTTATAAATGCAATAAAGTTTGACACTTATAGAATTAGATGGCGCTGTTCTCACAAATTATAATGCCAATCGATTTTAAACTTCAGTTCAAGATTTTTCGAACTTGATATTTTTTTAAACTGTCAGATAATTATAAATTAATCAATAACAAGTTAACATGTGAATGTTTTTTCTTTAAATGCTGAGAAGATTTATTTTGTACTTCAATCAATATAACACATAGTACGCTAAAACTAAAATTTCCTACATTTAAATTCCGATAATTTAAGGAAAAATCGAGAGATGTTGTCGGGTGTGACCAATAAGTTAAATATATACTTTATATCGAGCAATTTTCCATAATAAGTCAATTGAGTTTTATTAAATTCTCTAAATTTTTCGAAACTTTACAAATTTGCATCTCTGAAAAGATCAAAAGATTAGATTTAGGTTGTCGCAGCGCCACCTATCGGACATCACGTACACCAACAAAAATTCAAAATCCATGAAGTTGCAATAGTTTCAAATATTCGTGTTAGGGCCATTAATCTATTTGTTAAGCATATAGCACAGGGTTATATGCAAAAAGGCTGTTTAAACTACCCTAGCCTACTTTGTTCTGGTATCGTTAAAACAAACGACTAAAACCCTTATCGCCAAGTAGTAGAATTCACAATACTTTTAGTTAATCTTATCAGAACTAGAATAAAAGGGAAACATTTAACAAGCAATTAGAAACTGCAAGGTTGGCCTTCGGTGAAAGAGTTTCTGATAAAAAAACAGGAAAGAAGATATGCATTTAACTATTTCCGAAGTACAGTCGAGGAAATACACGGTGAAACACTTATAGATAAATTGCCTTGTTCCTTGTAACAAGACAAACTTCGTTTCTTATAAATAATCAATAAGATAGCAATAAGTGCAAACGACAGGATTATGTTAAATTCTTTGGATGATAATACTTTAGAAACATCCATCAAAACATAGAAACTATTGTATATCTAAATCTAGTAAGATAATTTGATTCATAAATACTTAATATTAGATTTGACTACTGTTGATTTTTTAAATATTTAAACTAATACGATTTATAATATAAATAAAAAAGTTTAGATGGATAAATATACATCCAACGTCCATCCGTCCGAATGGATGTTTGTTAGAGCTTATAGTTTGAACTGCTGAACGGATGTCGATGAAATTTGGCATGTACAGCGTAGTCTGAAAGACCACATAGGCAATACTTTTGTATTTTTTATTCCACGCGGACAGAGTCGCGTGCGAGAGCTAACAGCATAAAGTCTTGAATGACTAATTCACGTTTCAAAAAAGTTAACTGGCTAACTTTAAATAGCACAAGTGTCTCTTAAAATAAAATGAAATGAAAAATTATTGAACGCCATTTTGTACAGAATTTAAAAATTCCCGCCTAAAGATTACTTGACATAAATTTACGAGCGAAAATACGTAAAGCCACTCGGCGGTAAGATGGAAGTTTTTAATGAACTTTCGTTTAAAAAATCTTTTGGGATTTACTTCGTTAAGTTTGTATAAACGACTTCTATAATTTTACTTTTTAAATACGTATTTTAATGGAATATGAAGCATCATCAACTTGCCCTTATCCCTTATGGAGGGTCGGCCAAGTATGTGTTGCTCAATACCTCTTTATCAGTCGTAATATCTGAATCCACTCCTTTTTAAACAAAAACTTTTATGAAACAAACAAATAATACAAGATCAATAAAGTAAACACAAGAAAATTTCAACACTGATGGCAGAACACTTGTACTTTGTTCCCGTTTAGTTCAAATTAAAAAAAAAAAACTCTACAAGACATTGTTCCGCAAACGTCAAAATCGATTACAACTGTCATTATCACAATATCGATCATATCCATAATCCTCTCGGTTACCATTTTCCGCAATCGCTATTAATTTATGACGTATACGGATCCGGATAAATACAAATATTACTGTATACAGAAATAAAAATGCCTCAAATATTGCATTTGACACTACATCAAAACCCAACAACGTGACCTTGTAACAGCGGGCATTAAATATAATTCGTTTCTTTTATAATAAGAGGCAATAGTCATTTTAGTAAGACAGATTTAATTAAAACAATCATAAAACGCATATATATTCCTAAACTTTCGTACAGACTATAAATAGGAAAATCAATTTAATTAATATTCTAAAATTAATTAATAGTAATGGCTTGGTAATTAAAATATTGTTTCAAAGAGTTAAAGAGGAAAAATTGATGGCCAGTTTTATTTAAAAAAGAAATGTCTGTCATGTTTTGTTTTTATTTTATTTATTTTATGGCCTTATATGTGATTAGCTATTAATGACTTAACTTGACACAGTTTTTTTATAAAATCACAAGTTTCTGAATTAAACAGTACTTGACTGATCAAGCGATTACTCACGAGTGAGTAATAAGGTTGTATTGTAATGTAGACTTTGCGGAACGAAAGGGTTCCTAGGTGTCTGCTGCGTTAGACAATTAGTGCAGCCTTGCAATATAGTCTAGGAGCTAGGTTATTTCCTTCATACCATCAATTACACTGGTGTTAAATATTCTAAATATATGTTTTTAAAGGGTTTAAAATAAATGTGTCAATAACAAAATTTTCCATTAATATTAATAAAGTAAATTAAATCAAAATGTCGGATATTCGATACTTCTGAGGTATCAAATATTACAAAACAAATCTGAATAAACAGATCACGTATGTTTATTATGGTATTCGCATATGTAATAAATACGCGGTAGACAATACGCAGAGCATGTTCGATTCCTGGAATTTTATGTCAGGTTTTTTTAAAGTTACAATTACGAGAATCTTGAAGTAAATCAGTAAAGTAACAATATTATTACAGAAAATGACAAAGGAAATGGTTAAAAAGTGAATTATAAAACGTAAATAGTTAAATGTAAACGTAAATTAGGTAATTGTATTTTAAATCATTAAGGGCCTGGCCCATCAAATTGTAAATTGTCTTATAACATTCCAACGTGTAAAATATGTTATGGAAATATCGGATTTTATTAACTTATCTGACAGTGACGTCATTTTAAGCTATCTGAGCCTCTATCAGCCAATGGTGGGACAGGCCCTTAATTTTATAATTTTTAACATAACAAAATAAATTTACTGACAAATTAAGATTTATGTAAAATTGTTTGTATATCATAGCAATGACATTCTTACATAATATATTAAGAATCTCAATATTTGTCTTATAATGTTTTTTTTCCTTCACAGTTACGAAGGTTCTACTCAGCTTCTCAAGGTTAGAGTAAACTAAACATTATTAATAAACGAAAATTAGCATAAGCAATTATTCTAGACGCGTAAGGTTCCAGTAAACTTGTACCTTTGTGAAGCTCTCAGGCTATACGCTGCAGAATATATTCCAACTATTTAACATCTGTCAAAGACCACTAAACGTGTAGTCGCGTTTGCGCGCGCTCTCAGAACGCACGTTATTATTACGAACATGTAAACGGATTACGATTAGAAATAAAAACTTTTTGGTGTTTTTGAATTAAAAAAAAATAATAGGCATTTTTTAATCTGTGACGTGTTGAGCGATGTTGTTTTACGTGTTCATCATTTTGGCGGGATATTTATCTGTCAAGTGTGACGATGTGAGGTATTGTTTTATTTTTTTTAAATAAACTTTAGTACAAATCAATTTTCTAATAATATCCTTGTTAGTCTAATTTGAAGGATTAAATAATAAGATGTTTATTGTTGTTTTCTGTTGCGTTAATTGTGCGTTCAATGTTTACAAACATTGAACTATAATAATGCAACGGTTGACAAAAACTTGTCATATCGTGTACGTGTTATTTTTTTGTGTTATAATTTTGAATGTGAGATTACCTTGACATAACGCGTATGTTTCTTGTGTTTCTATGACAATTTTTTGTTAGATTAGCGAAAAATTATGTGTCAAGTTTGCAAAAAAATTAAGTACCGATAATGTAACTGACTTAAAACTTTAACTTTACGTTCAATTATGTTTGTGAGAAAAATGTAACGCACTGTCCAGGATTTCGTACTGAAATCTTTTTATAAATAAAATCTATACTAATATTATGAAGGGGAAAGATTAATATATTTGTATGTAACGAATAACGATGTTATTCCAACTAGAACTTTTTTTATTCCACGCAGACGACATTCGAAATAATTAAGTATTTTTTTTTATTTAAAAACTATAATGTAAAAGCGTTTACGATTGACTATTATCGGATTTAAAGCTCCAAAATATATGTAGTATTTTTATTTATATTTATTATTTACTAGCTTTCGTCCGTGACTCCGTCCATGCCTAATTTAATAAAAAACGTGTACTTTCAGGCTTTTAAAAAATGTGTATTTCATCGAGATCCGTTCAGCAGTTTAGGCTTTAAACTATAAAAAATATCCAACCAAACTTTCACATTTATAACCATACTAGCTTTCGCCCGATACTCCATCCGCGTGGAATTAAAAAAAACAAACAAAAGTATGTAGCCTATGTGTTCTTACAGATAATCCTCTACATTTGTACCAAATATTATCGAAATCAGCCGTTTCGGCTACAAACTCTAACAAACATCCATCCAAATAAACTTTCGCATTTATAATATTAGTACAATAAATATCTGACCATTTAAACTATAAAATTATTTAACAATCGATTACATTATTAATTCATCCTCATATAAAAGATCGATTAATATCACATTCATATAAAATATAAAGAAATTCAGAATAAAACTATTGTTTGGAGAAAGTCGGTCGACTATATTTAGAAGGGGAATCCAAGAATTATGCATTCAGTCATCTACGTGCTTCTTTGGTATTCACATGTAGCTCAGTTAACTTGAGAGTTCGGGTTGGATTTATTGCACGAAATCTACCGTAATTTATAACTTAAACTGTACAATATGAACCTCGTATTGTTGCTACATACATTTAACTTGTCTCTTTCATTTATATTTTATCAAACCACACTAAAGACAGGCGTAATGTGGGAGCAATTCCGTTTACAGTCTAATGAGTGTGGTGCCGGAGGCCTAATTTAAGTCCCTTTCTCTTTACCACCCTTTTCTTATAAGGAGAGGACGGGAATGGGAAGTGGATTTGACGGAGGAGGAGATGCATAGGAAGAGGAAATATCCTTTCTAAGTGCATCTTCTCCTCGGTCGGATGAGGGTAGGCAACGCATTTGCAATTGCGAATGTCTAGCAGCCGTCGCTTCGCCATTTTGGCGGCTTCAGGTGTCCCCTTGCTCGTTTGCAACCTTATAATAAAACAAAACCTATCCTGGATTAGTATATTGTTAATATTTTCTTATATAACTAGGCCCATTTTCAAATAAAAACTTCTCGATATAGAAACGTTCGTCCAATTGATTTTTTCCACGAGAATTTAGTTAAAAAACTGAAGTTACACTAAAATATCACGAATCAATTCTTTGTAGAAATCCTGTTCCAAGATGCCTAAGATGCGCAATTTAGTACAACCGCGCCTTAAACCACTAACAGCCGAATACTGAAACGAAACAACACTTTGAAGCAATATATCTGACAAAGATTAGATCAATGGAATTTGGAATTTAACGAATTAAATAAATAATCTTTTATAGGAACTACTCCATTCGTGTAGGAAAACTTGGTTACTTGTATTGCAGAAATATATTTTTCCTTGTTCATTATATTTTAATTATTGCTATCAAGCCCATTATACACTTATTGTTGCCAGTTACCACTGAATACTCGCACTGTTAAAAACTTAAGTTTAAACACTGTTAAAAAATTAAGTAGACAAAAAGACGCACACCTCTGAATAAACTATCGTACAACTGTTGTGCGATTGTCGATTGTTTCGCAGCCAATTTAACTATTTAGCACAACTAAAAATCAAGTAGCGTACACACTTCCATAACCTCATAGGAATCAAAGAGAGACTAAGCCGTTGAACGATTAACTGAACAGTTAGGCTGTTCAGTTAAACTCGAACTGAGCGTCTGTAGCGTGCTTAAGTTTCTCTACAAATCATAAGCGAGTATTGTGCACAGTACTGCGTTTATTACAAAACCTAGGTGTAATGTCGCAAAAAAACTCACAATGTGTTAACTTATTGACACATAAAAATTGCATTTAGTATATTTCTTTAGGTGTAAGAATTGTTAGCAACCGAAACTAATCAAAGAAAAAAAACGTTTTATATACATTTTAGTTCTCTTCCCAACAACCTTATAAAGTTCTAACGGTGAAGGAAAACATCCTATACTCAAAGTAACATTTAAGATGAGTGGTAACTGCATGAGAGTTTAACGCAGGTTCGAATGCGCTAGCTGACAAAATAGGAGAGTTCCCGGTTTTTTTTTTATATACATAGTATGTATGGCTGTTACAGGTTACATTAGAATAGAGCAAATTGATTGTTACTAGTGCTTACCAATTTTTTACCTAATTATCTGAGTCTCTGAGAGCAATGATGTCACAAAAACGATGTAAAAAGGTTCATCGTACTATACCTTTTGCCAAATTAGCCAGTGTTTTTTGGCAAACGTCCAAATTCAATTTAAACGGTTGTTATGATTTATTTACTCTAAGGTAACTTTTACCAAATGAGAGTATTGGCTCATCTTTGTTCGTTCTCTTTCAAAAATTACAAAAAAAAGTATAAACTGTGACGTCTTCCGACGTAGTGTAACGGAATAATTTTGATACTTGTTTTGTTGAATTTAATCTCATTGTTTACGTCATTGTGGTTACGACCGTCAATAAAATATAATTGAATTCATAACTAATCTAATGCTTCAAGAATCCACAAATAAGTACAATTTAAAATATACAATTAATATGTAACTATGAAATAATTACTGTCGACTAATTTCAAACGCGACTCCGTTCTCGTTGATTAAAAAAAGTGAGTTGTCTATGTTCTTTCAGACTGTGCTCTACATCTATGATCATCGGGATCCATTTACTAGTTTACTCTCTAAAAAACTCTAACAAACATCCATCCATCAGATGGATGGATGGATGGATGTTTGTTAGGGTTTGTGGCATGGATTTGGGTGAAATTAGGTACAAATGTAGAGGACAGTCTGAAGGAACACATATGCTCACTTTTGTTAATACATCGCAGACGTAAACGCAGGCGAAAGCTAATCTATCCATAACTTCGTATTTATAATATTTGTAAAATTAAGACCAATGACTTTCGATTGCAACAAATCTGAACTAATCAGATTTACACATAATACTTGCACATTACTAATTAAAACAACCCTTTGTCCGTTTGTATTTACATGAATCATACTTCAAGCTGCACAAACACGGACAGAGCAGAATCTCTGATAAAATAAACCACGTCTGAAGAGAGTAAAGTTTATTTACCGCGGATTTTCTCTGTCGAAACATTTGAACACAAACATATTCTTATTGTCTTAAGAAAACATACATGTCAGTTAGTTATTTTGATAATTCTTTTTTTATCTGAAAGGTAGTGCTTGCAGGTGGGTCCTGTTTTTTTGTTTGATTTTTAGAGTCAAACATTACGACGCAGTTAAATAGTTTAGCTCAAAATTGCGTGACGAAATTTGGGGTCTTTTTATATTAAAAGTTTGCAAACGAGCCTGAATTCCCCAAAAACTAGGAAAGCGATCGCTGCCTTGCATTGGCATTTACAATTGCGTTGCTTTCCTATCGACAGAGATGTACAGAAAAGGTTATTTTGTCATTCCCTTGCATGTACTCTGCCAAATTCAGCTTCCCATCCTCATAGAAAAGGTGGAGATGGGATAAAGATGATCAATTTTTTTTTTCATTTTGTATGTTTTATAATAAAAGAAATCTTTATTCAGTCATATATTTATTTTCAGGATTATCCAAGATTTTTAATAAACAGATACAATACTTAGATATTACTAGTTACTTATAAATAGTTTTACAATTTAATAGTAAATTAAACTGTAACGATTCAGTTCCATTAAAGGTATTATACCATATTATATTACTAGCTGAATACTAAGAAAAAAACTTGATAAAATTGATAACCTCCTTGTGGGAAGTAGGTTTAAAAAAGCCATATTAGTTCTACTGACAAGCGCTTGTAGTAATGAAAGGTATGTTTACAACCCTAATATCTAGTTCCAATAAGAATCTATTTAATGATGATTATTTCTTACTTTCATGTATGGTAGAACCTCAATAAGTTAAAGTCCAAGGAAAGCACAAAATATTTTAAGTTATCAAGGGTCTATGTTGTAGAGATTTTGGGCTCTGATGGGAAGGGAACATATTATTTTTTGAAGTTATAGAGATTTTTAAGTTACCGAGGTCTGAGTTATCAAGGTTCTACTGTACATTACTAATATTTTATAAAAATGCCCTAATTTTTTTAATTAATTGTATTATATCAATATCTGATTAATGTTTGACTTAAAATCTTTTCAGAAATCCTGATATGTTCTCGGAATCATGTTAAAATGTTTTAAAAACATAAATTACATACATAAACCATCCACCAATTCCACATACATTAAGTGTTACATACAAGTCCATACATATCTTAGAATTTAAGTGATTTAGCAAACAGAGCGACTGTAGCTTGTGTTTTATCCCCATTAAATCTCCTTAGTTCAATAATAGCCTGTTCTCTTGTGAACCCAAGACCAATGATCTCCTCGACTTCAGTTTCACTGAAAGGATCTGTTGGTAAGACTGTCAAACTTGGATCTCCAAGAATCCTTAAGTTAGGTTGCCCGCTAGAATTTAGAGGACCAGAAACCTGATTAGATTGATTACTCGTCCCTATAGCTTGATTTACATTATGGCTTGCATTTTCTTTTTTACTTTCTTGCAATGACTGATTAACCATTTCATCATCAGAATTGCTTGATAATCTAGCACAATCCGGTAACTCTGATTCAGGTAAAAATGGTGTCTCTGTCCCAGTTGTACCAATGTGTAAAACATTCCGTTTCAAATCTATTATACACTGATGTCTTTTTAACATATCTAAACCGAGAAGCATGTCCATCGGTTGTTGTTCCAGCACAGAGAAGGATGATGTTAGAAAATCTTTCTCGATCCTCATTTGCACCATATGGATCCTTCCAATAATTTTTTGTACACCAACACCCTTAGCAATGCCCGCCCATCTTGTATCAACCAGTCTCATTATGTTACATCTCTCCGCACAAGCTGCAGACATAATAGTAGTCTGGGCACCTGAATCAATAAATGCTTTTACTGGAAACCCGTTAACATGGCAATTGATGTACAGCATTACAACTGTACCAAAGATCTCAGGGTTATATTCCATAGCTGCTTCCATGTTAGCTTCTATATTCTTCTGGCGTATCTCCTCTGCTATCATTCTTTGAGCCTCTGTGTCAAATGGATCTGCATTCATCATTCTTATCCGTTGCTGTTGACGCTGTGATCTTGCTTTTATTTGTTCTTGTAGAATTGAAGTAAATGTCTCTAGATTTCCACTAAGTAACGCATCTGCGAGACGTGGATTGTTTTGTTTGAGGAGCGCTAATTGATCAGGGTTTGCGAGGAACATCTCCCTGATAAGTCGAGGGTCTTCTTCCGCGGGAACGCTGCCGGTACCCATTGAAGTACTCGCGGCGCCAAGAGGTACTTGTATGTTGCTAAAGTCAAGATTTCCCAGACCTTGGTTATCATTTACCGTCATGTTAGAAGGGGATCGAGATAAAGGAAGTAAAATGATAACATCTCCATCATTAACTCCGTGATCTTTTAAAGATTTTTTATCACCTATCAACGGTTTTCCATTGTGAGTTATTATAATATCTTTCGCTTGAATGCCAGATTCAATTTCACATAACGCTTTAAAATTCTCCAATTCCAAATCTTCAGCGACATCGATGACGAAAATCTCATCATTCACAGTGGTAATGGTAACTTTCATTGTAATATTGTTATTCAGCACTTTTACAAATGGACACTGCACTCTTTGTGAAATTTATATTTGAGCAATGATTGGACAAAACATTTTATTAAACGCGCACGATTTATATCAATACTTGTCAGTGATAACGCGATCGCAACTCTGTATATTCACTCACAAGTTGCTAACTTCACTACAGTAGTTTTTCGATAATTCGCTGCTTTCTAGACTTTCAAATACATAGGTAATTACTTTCGATTATTAATTAGTAGCTTGCTGTCCTACTTGTATAAATAACTACTTTCTTTATAATAATATTAACTTTATATGAATATATTGCTAAATAAATCAATATAATATGATTTATCGCGTCAATCAATACTTAATTGTGAAAGTTCCTAGGCAGCAAACCTTTATTGGTCACTTAAATTAAAATTTTATTCCAGTCCAGCATCATAAGGTTTCTTTTGCTTTGTTAGCTATTCAAACAAGATGCAACGATTAAAATGCTGTTGTGCTAAATGCTAATTCAAGCTATAAAATTAATTCGTAAAGCTTAATTTGGATTTGAGTCTTAAGTTTTTAAGGTTAGTATTTTTTTTAATTAGACCGATTGAAGTCAAAGGCAAAGGTAATAAGAATAAAAAGGTAAGAAGAATACAATACACGATTGAGTTTGAAAGTCAAAGCACGAAAATCACTTTATTGTTAATTCTTAGACTATAAATCCACCTGAATGGTTTGATAAGATAATTATTTTAGACCTATTTACGAGGTAAATTGGACATATTGTAGTGTTAAAGCATTAATGAAGTTTTCAAATCTATTGTTCTAATGAAATGTTACTTTTTAATCTGTAATCTAGCTGTCAAATGTCAAACGAAATGCAAGAAATTAATTTCGCATGCAAAATCATAAAAAGTTTTGGTTGAAAAAAGAAAACTTTTTTATGTTTAGGCACAAAGGTATTTAGTTAGTGGGCTTTACTAGTTTACTCTGAAATATCTAATATTAGATGAAGGTACTTTGTATTGATATTTTAGGTTAGAAAATCCCTTAGAAAAAACAAGTTGATTGTTTGCTTTATTATTTATTTATATTTCATTTTTTTATTTTGTAGTTATAGTACACTGAGTAATAGATTAAATGTTTAAGATTTACAATTCAAATTCCGGTTAGTGTCTGAATTGTTTATTGAAAACATTTAGATTAAGAAAGTCTTTCATGTAGCAATACTAATAATTCCATACATGGGACATCTTCAATTAGTATACAATTGAGCAGTTCTAGAATTAAAAAAACAATATAGAAGTAATTTAACTTAACTTCTGTTTGCTAGAAGTTAGAAACTAGTAAAACTAAAGAACTCTTATTCCGTTATGTTGTTGGATTTTGATGAAATTTAAAATGTGACCTATCAATTGGGCCTAACTATAATTTGTGAATTTTCTTAATGAATTAAATTAATCAATGTATTGAATTCACCTGTCATATCCAATTGAATCTTCCAATAATTTATTTGTAGTTTTTTAGATTGATTATTAATTTTGCATGACAAAACAACCCACACACATACATAGTCACATTTGAATTCACATACAACTTTGTTATTGTTAACTACTTTAGACATATATTATCATGTGTCCTAAATAACAAGCACTAAGACAAGAACCCCGCTCCTACAAGACGGGCCTAACCTTAGTGTGACCACTATTTTGTTAAAACAAAATTTTGTAGCAGCTTTATAAATAAATCTTCAAATCTATGAGTAAAAGAAATCTTTAAATTGCCAAAGCAATTATATCCATCTAGGGATGGGGTGGGTTCAGTTGCCCCCACTCCCTTCCCTATTAACACCCTTTAGTTCCAATTTTATCTTTACAATATTAGTAAATAAAAACATTACTAGTGAATAAAAGATGGCTGTTTCGATCTATCCTCTCTAGGCAAACACAGACATGTTTTCCTGTGACATTATTCAGGTTACTAGTGTTTGCCTAGCCCTGACCCAGATAATGTACGGCCCAGATATTCAAGGAGAATCAGCCAGGAATCAATACCATTACAACCTTCTCTGTTTAGTGCTTGTCTATTGTAGATATGTATAGAATGTTCTGGAATCAAATACTATGTCAACAAAGGTTAATTTACATATGAAATGGGATATATATACCACAAAGACTACAGTTGTTTTTAAAACTTTGGTGAAATACACCGCCATACATGTTCATTTTGATTAGGCGTCTGATTTATGGGTAGAGAGCTGAAGCGAAAGACTTAAAAACGAACTGAAAATACACTCATTATTTGGTCCACGTTGAGTTAGATTTCGCGATAAACACGAACAAGTCAAATTCAAACTTCGCAATACGAGCCCAGGAAAGCGAGATATATTAACATATTGCACTTGGTACAAAGACTTACTAATATTAAAACGCTTATAAAACTTATTTTAATCGATCAAAGTATTGCGGTAAGCTCGCATCAAAGAGAAGCTCAGCTTTTAATTAATATTTTCATTAAATCGATAGCAGAGAAATCCCGCCTTTCAATTCCACAGATAATCCAGATCTAAGCCATTCTAAGCTGTCTTTGTGGCCAGTATGACCTAATTACTGCAATATCCAGAGTTGGCACGTGGCGCGAAAGAGTACTCTTGTTGTAGACGTGCCAAATCAAATGCGATAGCTGGCAGTACAGATTAAATAGACATTCAGTTATAAAATTATGAGTTAAGTCATAGATTACTAGTGGAATAAAGTATTGCACAATTTCCCCATCGAAACTTGTGTGGAAATCTAGCGAGATTAGTTTAAAAACGATAAAATACGGATGGTACATAAATAGTGTAAATATAAATATACCATAATTTCACCGTCAATATTTGTGACCTATATTACTGTCCTGGCTTCGTCGGAAGTTTTATTATCTTGTGTAAACAAATTATTACGCAGTCTTCATAAGGAACTTGTAAGCTATCTTTGCGGCTGGGAGCGGGGTATTCCAAGGAATCGAAAAATGTATAGTAATACCAAATTAATGTTGCCCCTAGACCTGGTCTAGATCATCTGCTCACGATGACAATGGCTATTAAAAAAATTTGAACTCCCGTGTAAGGCTAGATCCGATACAGCTCGAAGGACCATAACTATTACATTATTTTATTTCATAATTTCTGTTTTAACAGTAACGGAAGAATAGTGAAACGAATGTCATGCACTTCTTCATAAACGCCGCATACAATCTAATAGCCTAATAATTAAGCGTAGCCTTATTATATTTAGTCGTAGATGTTACATATTTAAATATCGTTTCAGTAATTTGCCGTAAGTTATTTTAAATATTGTCTGGGCTGAGGCACGCCATCTGTATATGGATGACGAAACTGAAAAGTAGACACGATTAAGAGAGTGCGTACACCTTTGACTAAACTATCGCACAACAGCTGTGGGATTGTCGATTCTTTCGCAGTCCATTCAACAGTCTTACAACTAACAGTCGAGTAGTGTTCACACCTCCATATAAGCTCATAGGAACTAAAGCTAGACTAAGCAGTTGTGCAATAACTTAGTTAAGGGTGTGCGCGCGCCTAATGGTACAAACATTCCACAATCACAACCACGCCACTTGAGAATTGTTTATTTTTGATAAATGGTCGATAAATGCAATGCTTTTTTATTTGCAATGTTGTCGGCATTTTTAATGTTTTTTTTTTATTTACTGACCTCTTTAGCTAATGTTTAAAGTAGAATATAGATTATTTTTCTTCCAACTAAAGTAAGTTTTAAGCATTTTGTTTGTAAAATTACTCCACAAAGGCTGTAGGTAATACTGTATATATCTAAACACCTTGATCTAAACATTTTATTAAAAAAACGACTATAAAATTTATAGCATCTGAATCAAAATTCAAGATAGTGTCCATCTTTTACAAAAAATAATGCATAAATTAAGTAACATAGTTCTAAGTAGGAACTAAGAAAACAAAACAATAGAAACGTAACTTGTTAGCAAACTGTCGATTGTAAATAAACGAGAAATAATCGCCTAAATTCTCCGAAAGATGATTGGTCCTTCGAGCCGGATTCGTGTAATCGCGTAAGTTTAAAAAGTACTGATGTATTCCAGGTACTTCCACTTGAATTCGTGTCTTGTTTCAATCATATGGCTCTTGTGGCTTAATAAATCAATCATGCCAATATTATAAATGCGAAAGTTTAGATGGATGTTTGTTAGTCTGTAGCCTAAACTGCTGAACGGATCTCGATGACTGGGATGATGCAGAGGTTAATCTGGAAGAACACATAAACTAGTCGGAGTCGCGGGCGACAGCGAGTATAATCATAATTTTAAACGCGAAAGTGTAAATGTTTTTAAAACGTATCTCTAAAATTGCTTAACAGATCTGGATGTATGTCACAGATATATAATATAGTCTGAAAGAACACATTTAATTTAGATAGGCCAAAGTCAACGCGTTCCCTTCGTTCCCCTTTTGTACATCCATGTATAAGCCAGCTATGTGCCGTCAATCGATTGACCTTCAACAAGGGCGTGTGCATATTCCAAGGCATAATCTGCGAAACTAACAAAGTATATGTCGAAGTAAACAGGGATGGAAATCTATGGTCGTATTTAAATCTTTAGGTTATTTCATCAAAAATGTACTAGAAAAGGATACTGTAAAATAAGGGTTTACTGATTGAAAAATCGTTTTTTTATTGAACGTGATATTTACCATGTTATTGCTAGTTTCGTTATGATATAGGTGTGTTCTTAGAACTTCAATCGATATAACTTTGTATGATAAAGATTCGAGGAATATTACTTAAATGATATCGGTAAAGATTTTTACTTATTCTTGAAGATCAATTATTATTTTAGAATTTTATCGCAAAATTTCGTTGTCAAGAAAACCGAGGATTTTGGAGACTGTACATTTTTTATTCTCTCGAGTCGAGATATGCTTACCTCAATCCTGTTTGTTACAAAAGCAAAAGAACGTTTAATATAAAGGTGATTGTTCTCGGCTGACCGGTCTGGTCGTAATATTTAATATAGGTTATGTTTTGTTTATGCACAAGCTTAATGTTGCCATACTTCTGTTTTAAAATTCCTTGAATATTTTTATTTACGTGTTTAAAATCACACTTCATACTGTCATACTTACTACTTACTATAATATAAATTCGATAGTTTAGATGGATGTTTGTTAGAGTTTGTAGCCTAAACTTACTCAGATCTCGAAGAAATTTGGCATATATGTAGAAGATAGTTTGGAAGAACAGATAAGCTTGCGTTTGCTTTTTTAATTTTAAGCGCACGGAGACGCGTGCAAAAGCTAATATAATAAATTTACACATGACATGTAAAGAAAATTTAATGTTTGTAAAGAATTTATCGTATCATAAAATCTTATGTTCTATATCTAAAATCTAGAGTAAATATAAGAACGGTAATTTTTATTCTATGTTAAATATTTTTTATCACTCTATTCATACAATTAAACAATAAAAACAAACAATCTAGAATGACAAGCAATTTTCATTTGTTCTACGTCTATGAATCTAAACAAGATAAATAATGA